CAACCTGGATGGAACTAGAGTCTATAATACTGAGTGACCTCTCACAGAAACAAAGATCCGAGTATCACATGTTCTCACTCATATAACGGACTTTGAACACCCAATGTAATACTATAAGAAAATGACTGATGGTACTGGGAAACTATGGGGGGGGTGGGATTAACAGTAGCAAATATCTGTCTGGGGATAGGGAAACACCTCTTATCAACAGGATGCCTGAATGAAACGTAATTGTACACCTAACCCTTAACTGTACACCACAAAACCATAATAAAAAATATTGATTAATAAAAAAAAGAAATTCAATAACCATTACAGATAAAAACACTCAAGAAAATTAAAATCAAAGCTTAATTGATGAACATGATAAAATGTCCTAAAGCCAGTATTTCACTTAGAGGAGGGAAAAAAGCATTCACATATAGGTCAGGAACAATATTATCATGGTTTTGGAAGTGAATCAGACAAGAAAAAAAAAAGAGTTATAAGAATTGAAGAATAAGATGATCTCTTTTTGCAGATAAGATAATTTACCTAAAAAAAAATAGTAAAACCAAACAGTAAAATAATTCAGTAAGATAACCAGATAAAACATTAATATAAAAATCAATAGACTTCATACATGTAAACAATACACTATTAAAAGATATATTACAAGAGAAAAATCACACTTAAAGTAACGAAAAAAATTAAAATGAAATGAGAATAAACTCAACAAGACATAACAAAACAATGTATGGGATTGGCAGTTGAGGGAAACTGCTAGGGAGGGAGGGGCATACCTCATCAACAAGGGTACTTGCATGATTAATGTTAGTATAACTAACCCTGAATTGTATCCCACATCTTTATAATAAATAACTGAATTAATTTAAAAATATATATATATTCCTAAAAAGCACAAAAATATCAATTATCTCCCAAATCTATATACAAATTTAACATTAATCCAATAAAATCAAGCCACGGAAAGACATAAAGAAACCTTAAGTACATACTGCTAAATTTAAAAAGCCAATCTGAAAAGACTATTGGCTGTATGATTTCAAATATATGACATTCTGGCAAAGGCAAAACTATGCAGAAAGCAAAAAGACCAGTAGTTGCCAGGGATGAGTGGGTACAAAGGGATAAACATGTAGAACACAGAGGATTTATTAGGGCATTGAAACTATCATGTATTATGCTGTAATGATGAATAGATGTCTTTCTGTTGTTATTGAGTTGAGGTCTCACTCTGTTGCCCAAGTAGCATGTTCATGGCTCACCACACCCTCACAACCTCCTGGGCTCAAGCAATCCTCTTACTTCAGACTCCCACTTCCGTCCACCTCTTTTTTTTGGTGAGTTGTATAATTATTTCATTATATATTACAATGTAATAATAATAGAAATAAAATGCACAATAAATGTTATATACTTGAATCATTCTGAAACCATCCCTCTACCCCAGTCCATGGAAAAATTGTCTTCCACAAAACTGGTCCCTGATGCCAACAAGGTTGGGGACAGCTGATACGGAGAAAAACAAATATGACAAATTGTTAACAATTAAAGCTAGGTAAAGGGTATATGAGTGCTATATTAGTTTTATATTTGTTCTGAGGTTTGAATTTTTCAAAAAGAAAAAAAAACTAGCAGAAAAAAATTGTAATGCAGACAACGTCTGCAAATAAACAATTCATAGTTTATAAAGGGGTAATGACAAAAATAAAGACATGCTCCAAAGCCAACTACTGCTAAGCAGCAGCACTTACCCAAGTACAGTGCCTGTTTCCTGGTAATTTACTTGGATAAACTTGCCAAAACGACTGGAATTGTTATTATGAGCTGTCTTTGCATTTCCAAAGGCCTGCAAAAATAAATGATTCTCATTAGTTTCTTTTTTTATAATGGTTTTGCCAGAGGGATGCTACTTAGGTAAGTTCAGAGATATAAAATGTTAAAGTGATAGTAAAAAGGCTTATATGTTCAGATTCATATTCACAGCACAGGTAAAATCAAAGAAAGCAATAACAGAAAGAAACCAAATAGGCTCTATTTTATGCTATTCAGTAAAATGAGTCTTAATTTTATAAACTTAATACTCATTAAAGTTCAGATTTCTCGTTCACATTCCAGAGCTTAAAAAAAATTCTTAATAAACATATATTTACATATTTTTAAAATCTTACTAAACCAAAGTAACAAGGGGCTAGGAAAAGAATAATCACATAAAAATAACTACAATTTTAAAATAGTATAAATGAAATTAAGTTCCATTACATAATGTACTATATTATACCTATTTAAAACAAAGCTACAGTACTCATTACAAAAAAACAGTAACTATAAGCTTCCTAAGTTGTTACCCAAAGTATGTACCTTGCAATAAAATATTGCCCAGGAATAAAAATGAACTAGTGATACAACCATATGCTAAGCAGAAGAAACCAGACACATAATATATAACCCATTTATACAAAATTCTAGAAAAGGCAAAACAAGAGTAACAGGAAGCAGATCAGAAGCTGTCTGGGAACAAGAGTGCGACTGGGAAATGTCTACAAAGGGGCACAAGGATATTCCATAGCTCAGTTATACGATGGTGGTTACATGGGTATAAACATTTATCAAAACGCACAAAAACTTGTACTTTTTTTTTTTTTTTTTTTTTTAGTTGGAGTCTCACTCTGTCGCCCAGACTGGAGTGCCGTGGCCACTCCCGGCCACCGCAACCTCGACCTGCTAGGCTCCGGCGATCCTTCCACCTCAGCCTTCCAAGTAGCTGGAACTACAGGTGGGCGCTACCACGCCCAGCTAGTTTTTTGATTTATTGTAGAGACGAGGTCTCACTAAGTTGCCCAGGCGGGTCTCAAACCCGCGGGTTCGGGCAATCCACTCACCTCAGCATCCCAAGGCGCGGAATTACAGGCTGAGTCACCAAGCCCGGCTAAAAAAACTTACACTTTAAATGTGTATACTTTATTGTAAGGTATATCTCAATATGACTCAATTAAGTGTATTAAGATTTAATTTTTTTGAAATGAAGTCACTGTTGTAGCCTAACCTATTCTTATAATTGAAGACACAAACGGGAAAAGACACAGTTAGAGATGATTCATTGCAGAGCTTTTTTTCTCCTACTATAATATAATGATCTCCAGGGAATGGCATGACCTCTAACTCCAAAAACCTAAAACAGTCATTTACTGGCCATTCATGCTAAACAACACAGAGTACACACACAGATATGTGCACACACATATGTGGTTTATAATAACCCCTTCCAGTTGTTCAGATGCAAGCTAAAGTTTGACAACCACTGCTCTACTTATCAGCATGCATTTAAACTTCTGTGAAATTACATTTTATTGAGTATTCTTCTTCAGTGATAACAGCAAATGCAAAGATTCATGCAAATCTCCAGAAATACCTTTTATAATGTTTAGGCTCATGCCTGTGATCCCAGCACTTTGGGAGGCTGAGGCAGGAGGACTGCTTGATCCCAGGAGTTTGAGACCAGTCTAGGCAACAGCAAGACCTCGTCTCTACCAAAAATTAAAAAATTAGTCAGTTAGGGTGGTGCATGCCTGTAGTCCCAGCTACTCAGGACGCTGAGGTGGAAGGATCGCCTGAGCCCAGGAGATAGAGGCTGCAGCAAGCCATTATTATGCTATTGCACTCCAGCCTGGGCAATGGTGAGACCCTGACTCAAAAAAAAAAAAAAAGAAAAAGAAAAACTGAAACCTTTCTCTCTATAAATAGAAAGATAACACACATGTCTGCTCTCAACATTTCTATTTAACACTACACTTGATATCCTACCCAGGGTAATCACGCAGTAGCTCACACCTATAATCCCAGCACTTTGGGAGGCCGAGGTGAGAGAATTTCCTGAGCCCACGGGTTCGACACCAGCCTGGGCAACTTGGCGAGACCTCATCTCTACAATAAATCAAAAAATTAGCTGGGCGTGGTGGCACATGTCTGTAGTTCCAGCTACTTGGAAGGCCGAGGCGGAAGGATCACTTGAGCCCAGCAGGTCAAGGCTGCGGTGGCTGGGAGCATGCCACTGCACTCCAGCCTGAGCCAAAGAGTAAGACTCCAACAAAAAAAAAGAAAAAAGAAAAAAAGGCTGCCAAGTATAAGAGCCCACACCTGTAATCCCAGCACTTTGGAAGGCCAAGACAGGAGGTTCCTTAAGCCCAAGAGTTCAAGACAAGCCTGGACAACATAGTGAGACTTCATCTCCATAAAAAAAAAAAAAAACCCAGCTGGGCATAGAGGCGCATGCCTGTAGTCCCAGCTACTTAGCAAGCTGAGGCACAAGGACTGCCTGAGCCCAGAAGGACTAGGCTGCAGAGAGCCATGATTGTCCCCATGCCTTCCAGCCTGGGCATCAAGAGTGAGACTCCAAATTTTAAAAAAAAGTAAAAGAAAAAAAAATGCAGATGAAATCATCTGAAGGAATTTCCAGCAATTCAAGTAAAATTACTTCAATTCACAGATGGCATGGTCTTGTTTATAAAATAAAAAATGCTGAGAAATACATTTTTAAAACTTTTAAAGCAAATAACTCAAGTTGGAGGATACAACAGCAATATACAAAACTCAACTATAATATCTACTAGAAATAAACGAAATGCAATTAAGAAAAATAATTCTATACAGAGTAACATCAAAAAACTAAAATACAAGACTAACTTCACAATAGAGGTGCACAGAGTATACAAGGAAAATTTTAAAATAATTATCAAAGAAATTTTAAAAGACCTAAATAAATGTAAATACAAGTCAGGCTCGGTGGCTCAGCCTGTAATCCTGCGCTTTGGGAGGCTGAGGTGAGTGGATTGCCTGAGCCTGCGGGTTCGAGACCCACCTGGGCAACTTGGCGAGACCTCATTTCTACAATAAATCAAAAAATTAGCCGGGTGTGGTAGCGTGCACCTGTAGTTCCAGCCACTTGGAAGGCTGAGGCGACTGGGAGCAGCCACTGCATTCTGGTCTGGGTGACAGAGTGAGATTCCAACTCAAAACAAATAAATAAATAAATAAATAAATGTCAATACAGTTAAATATTGTTACGATCTATAAATTCAATCACACTCTATCAAACCTAAACTACCTTGAACAAATTAACAAGATAGTCCTAAAATAAATATAAACATGTAAGGGACTCAAAATACCCAAAACAATCTTGAATAAATTTGAATAATTCACACTTCAGGATTTCAAAACTTACTACAAAGCTACAGTAATGAAGACCATGTAATACTGGCATACAGATAAACACAAATCAATGAACCAGAACTCACATTCAGAAATAAACCCTAACAAGGATAGTCAGTTTATTTTCAACAAAGGTGAAAAAACAATTCAGTAGGAATAAAATAGTCTTTTCAACATATGGACAGACACATGCAAAAGAATGAAGCTGAATCCCTACCTCATATCATTTATAAAAGTTAATTCAAAATGAATCAAGGACCAAAATGTAAGGGTTAACATAGTAAAACTCTTTGAAAAAATCATAAGTGTAAATCTTCATGATCTTGGACTTGGCAATAATTTCTTAATATGACACCAAAACCAAATATAACAAAAGAAAAGTTGATAAACTGAACTTTATCAAAATGACAAACTTTTGTGCTTCAAAGGACACAGTCAAGAGAGTGAAAAGACAGAGTGGGAGAAAAAATTTGCAAATAAAACAAAATATGCAATAAAACAACTGATATCCAGATATAAATTACTGAGTTCTTACAAACCAATAATAAAAAAGACAACTCAACATAAAAATGGGCAGTCAGGGATGGTGACTCACGCCTGTAATCCTAGCACTTTGGGAAACCACAGCAGGAAGACTGCTTGAGTCCAGGAGTTCGAGACCAGCCTGGGCAACATAGCCAGACCTTGTCTCTACAAAAAAACCAAAAAATTATCTGGGCATGGCAGCACATATCTGAAGTTCCAGTTACTTGGGAGGCTAAGGCTGGAGAATTGGTTGAGCCCAGGAGCCTGAAGCTGTGGTGAGCCATGAGATTGCCACTACTATACTCTAGCCTGGCCAACAGAGTAAAATCCCAACTCCAAAAAAAGCAAAGAAATTGAATAAAAATTTATTCACAAAAGATATACAAATGGAAAACAAGCAAAAGAAAACATGCTAAATATCATTAGTCATTAGGGAAATGCAAATCAACACTAAAAACAAGGCCAGGCACAGCAGCTCATGCCTGTAATCCCAGCACTTTGGGAAGCCAAGGCTGGAGAATCACTTGAGCCCCAGGAGTTTGAAGCTGCAAACTCATCATGAGATCATCAAGTTGTGATCTCATACATCTGCTCTCCAGCCTGGGCAACAGAGTAAGACCCCAACTCAAAGAAAAAAAAAATGAGACAGCACTACAAACACACTAGGATGACTATAATCAATAACAAATGCTAGTGGAGAATGTGAAGAAATTGGAACACTTACACATTACTGGAATGTAAAACATGTGGCCATTTTGGAAGCTCCTCAAATGATTAAACATAGTTACCACATGAGCCAGCAATTACTTCCAGGTATATATCCAAGAAGACAGAAAAGCTATGTCCTCACTGAATCACTTAAATGAATGGTCTTAACAGCATAATTCATATAGCCAAAAAAATGGAAACAACCCAAATATTTATCAACAGATGAATAAATGAACAAAATGTGGTATATTTAGACAATGAAATGTGATTCAGTCATAAAAAGACATAAAGTACTGATACATGCTACAATATGAACCTTAAAAACATTATACTAAGTGAAGGAAGTCAGATACAAAAGAAAACATACTGTATGATTCCAGTCACATGAAATACCCAGAACCAGGTTAA